AAGAGGAGGACCTCAGGGACCTGGAGCCCTGCATGACAATAGGGTCTCCCAGGGTAGGCATTAGGGTGGACAGGCGGTGTTGCCCCAACCACGTGAGTGGTCACCTTGGGGGAGCTCGATGTCTCCCCCTGAGAAAGGAAGAGGGGCATCTCCAAGGAGTTACCTGGCCTGTGTTACCAGCTGCCTTATCATAGCAATATTGGTGATGGAAGCATTGGAGTAATAATAGTGTTGAGAACCAATTGAGTTTATGCATTCTGTTTTAAACATGTTTTTACTTTAATGACGATTTATAGTTTATTTGTATCATTATTGATCCAAAGAGGAAAAGAAGTGATTTTTGTCCTAACTCCCAGAGGATCTGAACAGTTCTTATACTGGTTGAGTTCATTCTAACAGGATCAATAAAGTCAGCGTTAGTGGATTGAATATTTTAAAACTCTATTTCGTATAAGCAGCATACAGTGAATAAGTAGAATTTTCTATAACAGACATGTAAACAAGCAAGATAGTCTCAAGGTTAAAGGTTGCATAGCAACTAAGCATTGTGCTTCGAGTGGCATTGCTCAGGACAGGATGTGGTAAACAAGCCACTCGACTTGTGAGAAGGTACAGAGCAGGGACACGTCTGACAAGGGGGGACCTTCACCTCCATGTGGCTGATGTTCGCGTTCAAGATAGTTTCTCATATTTTCTAGGCTTCATCCATATCTCTTGAACAAAATGTAAAGGCCAGCCTGGGGCGTTGTAATCTCACGGCCTCACGACAAAAACTGAAAATCTTTCATCTCTCAAGTTTCCTGCTGTTGAAAACTTGTATCCCTTGGCTTTAGCTTTTAATTTAACCAAGGACGAGTTTGATAATTTGGGGTTTAATTTTTTCACGCTGTAACAGCTCCCTTTTGCTCCTCGCTGTTTGTCATGCCCCCTAGAATGCTCTGCACTCCACGCTCCTGACAGCTTTACGGTTATGAGGACGTGTAGCATAGCAGCGGAGGGATCTGCCCAAGGGACCTGCCCAAGGGCCCTCTCCTGGAAGTGACAGAGCTGGGGTGGGACTGGGTCTGTGTGACTGTCAGCCCCCCTACCGTCCCACCTCGCGCTTCATACACAGGACCAGACGATGACGAGAGGGATTGGGTTTATGAGCCACCGACTTGTCCTGGACCTTTGCACCCAGTGGAATTTCCCCTGTAGTGTTTCCCGTTAGGTATCTGGATGCTCATTTAAAAATTTAGAAATCTTTTAGCTTTGAGGGCTTTTAACAAAGAAATATAGTGAAAGTCTAGTTATTATAAGTAAAAGTAGGAAAAAGATACAAACTATGGCTTATCTTCTAACTGGAAAATTTTGGTACTTAAAAGACAGATTCTCTCTCAATCTCCTTAGGGGGTGAGGAAGAATAATTTTCAGAGATGCAGGTTTTTTTTTTAGCAGAACAAGTTTCAATCATCATGTTTTAGCAACTCAACTTTCACTTTTCCTCCCGTCTTTTTCCCCCGTTGTTGGCAAGACTGTATTACTGCACTTTCTGAAAAGACATGGCGAATTCACTGCCATTTCTCAGATAAGCATATGGTTCTATGCTCTGGTCCCAGAAGCGGGGAGAAAATTTTCTCCAGTTTGTTTTCCCTTTTGGACTTGAGGATTGGCAGTGAATCCCAAGTGAGCAAGAAGTCGGCGGGAGGTGCAGTTGTCTCCGTCAGGAGAGAAGGCTACTGGCCCACCGGGGCCTTCTTGGTGGTGTGGGGCTGCAGTGGCATCTGTGCGCCCCTCTTTCCATCGCGGGGACATGATGGTGGTCCCCACCCTCAGCCCCCAGGCACTTGGCTGGAGCGAGCAGCCCCGGGCCTGTGCTGCGGGCACGATGCCTGTCCCCAGGGGCTGCGCACGAGCTACTGCGAGTCCTGTCACGAGCGTGGACAGCGAGGGGGCTGCCTCTGCTCCATCCTCCTAGGAGGGGCTTTGCTAACGGGGCACGTCATGCTGTAGCTTCGAAGGCAAGGAAGAGCTTGGGTTCCAGATGAGCTTCAGGAAAGGAAAAGAAGAGTGAACTTGAGGAATACCAGGTCTCCAATTAGATTCATTCCCTGGGGAGCGATGTTCTCTTTACTTGGGAGTGTTGCTTGTCTGTTGACCTCATGGGAGGGACATAGCACCCTGACCACTACAAGTCTACTCATTTCCCTGATGCCTTTTTAGAAGAATTCTTTGTTTGTTCAAAAAAGAATATTGTGGCAATATTAATATAATTTCAACAGTTATCTTACTCCCCCTAGAATAATCCATTGCATGTTGGCGCATCTCTTCCCAGCCTTTGTCCATATCAATCCCTAAGAAATACTCTTGCAATTAAAGAACAGGTATCAAGCATTGTCCATCTTGCCACAGAGCACAGTTTATGATTCCACTTTAAATGGCTTTTCAGCGCTCCAGGCAGAGAGCCATGTCTGCCTTCACCTCTCCCGCAGGCTGGCTAGCCGGGCTGTCTTTAGAGTACCTTCACCATGACGGGGGTGTGACCTGACTGCCTCTTGACAACATTGTGATGAATACGATGACCATGAAAATTTTTGTATGTTGCATTTTGTAGCAAAATAGTTTAAGGGGCTTGTTGAGCTTGAAAAGGTATGGAGTTTTCCTTAAAATCAGGTGTTTCCAAAACTTTCTTTGGTGACAAGCGACTGCCAATTGTAGGCCCCTAGAAGATATTAGAAAAAAATCAACACACTTAATCATCTATCAAGGTAAAGGTGACGAATTAATGAAGATCAAGAGGGGAACTGCTTTCCAAGAAATCTGCACAATGGAGTGAACATTTTGAAAACAGATGTTTTTAATTGTTTCCATGGTTCTGTAATTTTTGTTGCCAAAACAATGATGTGAACATGTCGCCTATTAAAAACTCTAATATCTGCACCTTTAACTTGGGAACAGTGTTTTTGTAATCTGCTTTAAAATCCTTTAAATGAAAATTTCAGTGGATTTTGAATTGGGTTGTTAAAAATATGAGAATTCAGTAATCCCGTCTGATTAGTTGTAGGAGCCATTGTTTAACATCGGGGAAAAGGGAGATTTCATGGCAAAATGGTCACAAAGTCCTTTGCATCGGCAGTAGATGGAAATAGAAAATGTCCCTCTCGTTGCCCAAGGTGGGCATCTCCCATCCAGGTCCGCGCATCTCTAGGACGAGTCTTCCTTGGCGCTGATAGATTTCAGTGAATAAACTGAAGCTGTACTGGGCTACTTTCAGATCACTGAGTCACAAAAAGTTCCCTACATTTGAAAAAAATGAAAGTGTCGCCAACCTGTTATTCACTAAAAATATTATAGCATTTGATTTAATGATTTCAGAGATTTGTTGATACTTTTAGTAAAGACATGTTAAAATATATTTTAAAGCATTGGCTATTTTATCGTTTTCTCATCCTTTAACGTGTTCTATTTTTGGTGTTTGTTTTAATGTTCACAATATATTGGTACAGTGGCACACTGTGTAACTTATCAACAAACGGATGTGCTTAAGGGTTTCTCATTGATGGGGTGCACTGTCAGACGAGCTCAGAGACCATGGATCTGGGTGAACTGGATTAATAATTCTGCGGTAACTCTTGAGAGTACCGATTTGTGGCTTGCTTTTCCGTACCAGGTGAGCTGGTAGAGACTTAACCAAGTACCTGGCAGTGTCCTGAGCACAAAGCAGTCAACCTAAAGGAAGCGCTTTCTGAATCGAGCGAGCTAACGCGCTTCCTGGGTTCCTGTAAGAGGAAAGGAGTCTCAAGATCTTGCCGTCACATTGGTCTCCTTCTTGGCCACCAGCTTCTTGTGTCCCTAACTGCTCACTGCCTCAGTGCAGCAGTCAAGCTTGTCCCTCCCGGGCTGTGGGAGCCCTGGTCGCCGTCTCTGAGGGAAACCACCTTCACGTTCCTGGTTGGCGTGATACGTGGCAGGTGCTGCACCTGGTGTGTGAGCAGGGATGTGGCGTGGTGGCCCAGCCCCTGGGGACATGTGCAGAGGCAGCACTCAGACTCAGCAGCAACAATGGCTTCTAAGGCCAGTCCGATTTCTCGATGCAGTTTCAGTGGGGTTGACTTGAACACGCAAGAACTCCAGCCAGCGCTCAGGGACACGAGGAGGCACTGCGCAGAGGAAGGAGTCCTGGCTTTGGAGCTCAGTAGACGTGGGCTCAGGGCAGAAGATCCATTTCCCACGTGCCCTGAGTCTGACCTGTTTCTACAGCTTACTTCTAGACGATCACAGTGACAAAACAGACCTTGTCCACACAGGATGCACATCTCTGCACACAAACATCTGCACACTGCTCATAAGTGTCTGACAACAGTTTCATGACAGATGCGTGCAGGACGAGGACTGTCTTGAGTCCTGTAGAACCAGTGAGACTCCAATGGTCCACGCCACCCTGTCCATCCTGGAACTTGGGCCACTGTGATGTCACACTCTGGTTTGTCACCCAGAGCATCAAGGCACCCCCACCTGCCATGCTCTATAGCAAACCATTCATGGTTTTTATAAGGGCTTGACTGTAAGATGGCTGATCCTAAAAAGAATCACTTGGGAGCATCCTGCTTTTGGTTTTTAGACTTCCAGGTCGATAATCTGTATTAACTGTGCAGTTTTGGAAATGTTACCTAATCTTCCTGAGCCTCGTTTTTTCCAATCGCAAACTGGGTTTAAAGTGGTTGTGTGGTTGAAGTGAGTTGACGCATATGTTTACGGAGCACATAGAAGGTGACATTCATGGATCCAGTCGTCCAGTTTAGCCGGGGGGGGCGGGTGGAGTTCAGCTAATCAAGGGTGGGGGTGGCCAGAGCGTGAGGGCAGAAGTGGCGGCTGCTGCTGTTGTGTTTCCAGAAAGTCCCCGCTGGAGACAGGTGGGCTGCGTTGGCCCATAGCTCCATACCAGGAAGCGTCTTAGTTTCAAGATGCTTATTTTGTGATCTGGGTGGTTTCTAACCCTCTCTTCTTTCTTTGTGTTGTAGGGACCCAGCTATTCAGTGGTCAAAGTGACTTCAGGATCACTACCTTGAAGTTTCATCCCAAAGACCACAGCCTTTTTGTGTGTGGAGGCTTCAGCTCCGAAATCAAAGCTTGGGATATAAGGACCGGCAAGGTACCACGCCTCCCTCGCTTGGCCTTTCCCTGGGAGAGCTTGCCCGATGAGCTGAACGATTGGAGTCAGGGCAGCATCCATGTATGGGACCCAGAGCTGGAATAATTACCGCTTAATATCTAATCAGTGCCAATCGTCATTTTTAGATGTTTTGAAAGACCCTTGAGTTGTTAAGACTGTTAAAACATCATAGGTGCATTCTGTACAGCTTACTAAAAATATCTGTTGAGCACCTACTGTGTGCAAATACTTCCAGATGATATAAATAAGTCAGCCTTGGGTCACTCAAGGGAATAACGTGTGGATACGGATAACTGGCGCTGAGAGTGCTGTGTGTGAGCGAGCGAGCGGGAGGGGCCCAAATTCAGAGCAGGTGAGTGCTTTCAGCTTGGCGGGAGGAGGGCTGCTTAGAGCAGGCCGTGTTCCCTGTGGGGCTTGAAGGCTGGTCACGATCCGTCCCACAGAGACATGGTGTCCACTCCCACCTCACCACAGCCTGCTGCTCCTCTTGCTTTCACTTACTTAATATGTGGCATCTCCATCCTTCTGGTTGTTCGGGCTAAAACCATCAGAACCATCCCTGCCTCTGCTCTCCCTGTCATCCCCCGCACACCCGGACCATCAGCAAATGCTGTCGTAACTCTGGTTCAAGCCGCCATCATCTCGCGCTGGGATAATTGCAGTAGTCTCCTGTCTGGCATCTCTCTTTCCCCCTGCCCCTCACAGTTTGTTCCAAGCACAGCAGCCACCGTGGTCTGTTGCAGTGTAACAGATGTGTCACTCCTCTGGTCAGACTCCTCCCTGCTCCGATCTCACTCACAGTGAGAACCAGTGTCCCTACAGTGGCTCACAAGGCCTGTGTGATCTTCCCTCAGCTCCTTCTCATCATCTCCAGCCCCACTAGCCCCCTTGCTTTTCCTAGGACACACCAGCACTTTCCTGCCTCAGGGCCTTTGCACTTACTGTTCCCTCTGCCTGGAAGGCTCTTCTCCCAATTTCCTATGTAGAGGCTTCCTCCCTCCCTCACAAATCCCACTTCTCCAGTGAGGCCTTCCCTGACCACCATGCCAGCCACCCCCTGGCATTCACTAGTCCCCTTTGCCACCTCATTTCTCTCCAGAGCACTTATCATCACCTGGCATACTTTGGATTTTACACTTTGGTTTGGTTTATTTATTTGCATGTCTCCTTCTACTTGAACGTAAGCTCTCTAGGACAGAGATTTTGTCTGCCTTGTTTGTCCTCAGCTCCTAGAATAGTGCCTGGCGTGTAGTCGGCACCCAGCAAACCTCAGCTGACTGAATGAGTGAGTGAAGGAGGAAGGCAGTCACGTGGAGTGTGCAAGTGCAGAAGGTGGGGATGTGAAATGTGTGCGGGGGCTGGTGGCCAGCTCGGCTTGGCTGTGTGTGGGCCCCAGGCAGCGGGACAGGCCTGCTGGGCAGACAGTCTCTCACTGCCCTGAGTCTTGGTTTGGATTAGCAGTGGGAGCCATGGAAGTGTGTGAGCAGGGCGTGCTTGGATCGGGGCTGAGGGGGCTTCGTGGAGGGGTGACTGCCGTGGTATGACAGCCTCTGGGGTCTCAGTGACTTCAAGGACAGCTGGTTTTCAAGATCTGAGAAGCACTGCCCTGGTCTGAAGGAGGCAGACAGCCACTCGAGTCCTACAGGGTAGTTCATGATAAAACCTGTGTTGAACTTGACTTTGAAAGAAGAAGAATGTCAGAGAGTGTCCTCCTTTGTTTGGGGTTCAGGGGACCCAGTGGTCCCGCCCTGAAGGCTCGAGCCTGCTGCATCTGTATCGCCAAAATGTTCTCCTTCAAGGCTTCCCGCTCTGGGGCCGCCTCCCTCCCCGTCCTGGACGCGGGCCGCCCTCACGCCGCTCTGCGCCCAGCAGAGGTTGTTCCACACGGCCTGGATGGAGGGAGGTGAGACCAACCTCAAGGTCAGGTTCGGAGGCCCAGGGGGTGCCTCAGACCGGCCGCTGCGGGAAGACGCTGGAAGGGGCTGCTGCTGTTTTGAGGAGAACCCAAAAACAGAGACAGTTTCTTCAAAGAGGACAGGACGTTTTCTTCATAGATATCTTGCTTAGAGCACTTCACACGCGGTGGATGCACAGAGAGATGTGCTCTTTTAAAAAATGTGACACAGTTTTCTTTCACAAAGAAACTTCTCTTTACAAAAATATTTGGAAACGAGAGAAAAGTTACCCACAAAGAAGTGGACACAGTGAAGTTTTTTAAAAACTCTGGAACACTTATATTTAGGATATAAATACCTGATAAATGAAAGAAAACACAGGGAAGCGCTGTGCGAGCTGGAAACTCTTAGTCATGCCGTGAAGCGAGGCCTCCTGATTACCCAGCCCCGCTGACGGCCACGTCCCTTAAAGGTGTGCTTACTGTTTTTAGTCTCAAAGACCAAACACGTAAGAAATTACTCACCAAGGACGCCATCTGATTTAAGAGTTTGTTAAAAATATCGAATTTTCTCCTTTAAGGCAGACGCCAGCTGACGAGCTTTGAAAATGCTGGGGGAGAAGAAATTAGAAGCAGATGTTGCTGTGACTGGTATTGGCATGTTTGCGAGTCTCTCCCAAGCGAATAATGTGGGTAAAGGGATCCATGCGCTATTTGTTTTTACTTTCTTTTTACCAACAATCCGACTGCCTCTCCTCCCCCGCTGGGTCGCAGGGCTAGTTCCATTGTGCATCAGCCAGGCTCGGGGGACAACTCTCTTTCCTGCTTCAATTACGGTTCTTCTGGCAGGTGTGGCCTGAGTGTCTCATCTGGACTCAGCGGGGAGGACCAGAGAGAAAGGCACAGCCTCCCTGCCCTCTGGGCTCCACCTGGGTGGCTGACTTTCCCTCCCCCTGGGCTCCCGCGGGTGTGTGCCTCTGTCCCAGGTGCTGAACTCCCCCGCCCTCTCTGGCGCACGGAGGAACATCCAGGGCTGAGCAGCTTGACTTTCTCTGCCTGCCTTCAGGGACAGCGGTGGCCACTGCAGGTGGAAGCAGGAGGGACACAGACCTTAGCTTAAAATCAAGACAAGCTTCCTCTCTTGTATACACTGGGAAGGACTGTTGTGTTGTAAAAGAAATATGTGATTGTATGAAAAAATTAGAAAATAGGAGGAAATAGAAGAAGTAGTCAAGCCAGCCAAAGATAAACATTAGGAACATTTTGATATTTTTCTTTCATTTTTCTTTCCCCCGTGTGTGTTTTTTTTTTTAAAAAAAACATTGTTTGGTCTTATTTTTATACATAGTTGTGTACTTTGCTTTTCTCATAGCATTGTAAGGGTTTTCCTTGTAATCACAAACTCTTGTAAAATTTTCGGTCCATCCTTTGATGCAGGGTGTTTGGCCGGCTTGCTGCTTGCCCTTTCCCCGGTACTCAGGGCAGCATCTGACATAAATAAGCACTTGACAAATATGGATCAAATGAGTCAATTTCAAATGGTTTAATAACTTAAACCCTAGTTTGGACATTAAGGATATTTCCCCTTTTTGTTGCCATTTAAAATTAATAGATATGAGGATGGGGATCAAGGGTCAGCACACTGTAGCCTGGGGCCAAATCCGGCCCACTGCCTGGTTTATAGATAAAGTTTTATTGAAACACAGTCACACTCATTTGTTTATGTACCATCCAAGGCTACTTTCACACTACGGTGGCAGAACTGAGTAGTTGCAGGAGACCACATGGCCCGCAAAGCCAAAAATATTTATGATCTGGCCACCCCTGCTATGGATAGATCTGGTTGTGACATCTGTCACCCTATTGATTATCGGGGCTAATCGTCCTGATCTGGCTGAGAAGGGGGGTGCCCCTGTGCCTGACTCTTTTATGGGCATCCTTGCAGAGACGGTGTGCTCAGAGAATGTCTTTTCCAGAGAACTGTTCTTCAGTCAGGGGTGTTTGAGTCGTCCGTCTCTCGATATAATCTCCAAACAACCATCCAGGTCTACTTGATTATACTTTCCACTATACGACACATATTTGTGCATCTCGTGTTTTCCACGATTGGGGTTTATTTCCTTAAGCTTGGGTCCCAGAACTCAAATTGCTGGGTCAAAGCGAGTCCGCCTTTTGAAGGTAAGGGTTGAGGAGCTGAGGCATGCTGGGCTGTGAGCCCACCACGGAGCAGGACTGCAGGGCCAGCCAGCCTCTTGCGGGCTCTGAGAGAATCAAGGCTGGAGAGTAGTTGGAACAGATAACTCTTAAGCTACTTCCCAGTCATACAATTTTATGATTCCTTAAGCTTAGCCAAATGATGAATGTTGGGATTCTGGACTTCTCCAGTCCAGCCCGATTCATTACAGCAAATGGGCTATTTGGCTCCCCTTTCTTCTTTTCTTGGCCACTTTCTCTGCCTTGGGTCTGATGACTGGAGCACATCCCTCATTGCAGCAAAGTGCCTGACTTCGTTTCCAGAGGTCAGCGGGATGTGGTCCATGTGAGCCAGCAGAGCATGCTTCCTGGGAGCTGGCTTTGGGCCACCAGGATGGCATTCTCTGACTCCTCTTCCTCCTGGCAATCTGCTTGAACCTGGGTGTGAACTGGAACCCCAATGTCTATGATCAGACCTTCATGTCATTGTGGGGGCTCCTCTCTCCAGAAGCCCATCCTGGCCTCCAGTGCTATGGCCTGAGCTCCAGGGGACCCTGACTCACGTCCTCCTCCACCACCCACTCAGCTGGGTGGTTTTAGCCAAATCCCTCAGGCCTAAGCGTCTCTCACTCGTGGTTTCCCGGTTGGTGCAGTAAAGAGAGAGGACGAGATGCTCTCTAAGGCAGGGCTGCCCAGACGCTCGTGCAGAGGAGGCGTGGGGCTCTCGTTAGGGTGCAGTCTGTGCCTGCAGGTCTGGGGTAGGGAGGTGTCCTCGCTCAGGCTGCTCTGACACAATACTGCAGAGTGGGGGCCTTAAACAACAGACGTTCATTTCTCACTGTACTGGAGGCTGGAAGACCGAGATCAGGGTGCCAGCGTGGTGGGGTTCTGG